CGCTGCCCCGGAAGCGGTCGGCGCTGCCCCGGAAGCGGTCGGCGCGCCGCGGCGGGGTGGGCGAAGATGCCGCTGCCGGTTCAGGTGTTTAACTTGCAGGTAACGAGCCGCGGCCCGGCGGCCTCGCGCAGGGTCCCCGCCGTGGGCCCGCAGGCCCGGCCCGGCGCTGACGCGCCTTCCGGCTTCAGCAGCGCCAGCTCCGCGGCGGGGGCGGGGGCGGGGCGGGGCGGCGGGGTGAGGGCCCGGCGGCCGCCAGCGCGGCCTCCTCGCCCGGGACCGAGCGGGGCCGCCCGCCTCCCGGCAGCAGGTCGGGGCTCCTCCGGCCCGTACGCTGCTCCGCGAGGCGCCTTCCAGGGCGGGGGCCTCCCCGCCGCCCGCTCCGCTCCGGGACCCGCGGTGGAGGCGGCGCCGGGGCTGGGCCGCAGCCGCCGGGCGTCAGGGGCGGCGCCCCGGGGCAGGAGGGGGCGGGGGGCCGGGCCGGGATCCGCCGGCCGAGCGGCCACGGGCACAGCCAGCCCCGGGCGCAGGGGGCGTGTGGCCCTTCCCGGCGCTGCGGTTCCAGCGCCCAGGTGCCCGCCTGTGTTGCAGGGGGCCGTGGAGCCCATGCAGATCGATGTGGACCCCCAGGAGGACCCGCAGAACGCCCCCGAGGTCAACTACGTGGTGGAGAACCCCACGCTGGTGAGGAGCCCGCCGCCCGGGTGGGGCCCGGCCGCGCCCACCACCGCCCACCACCGCCCACCACCTCCCACTTGCCAGGCCCCCGCGGCTCTCCCAGCTGAGCGCAGGTCCCCCGGGGGAGCCTCCTGAGCCCGGGGCAGAGCTCAGCCCCCAGCACCCAGCGCTGGCCCCGCCGAGCGGCCTTTGTTGGCCAGCCGTTCCGGTCACGGGCATCGGGTCTCCCGGACGCTGCAGGGTCAGCCTTGGGGCGCCGCTCCGGACCTGGCCCGCTTGGCCGGGGTTGGGATGTGGGGTCCCGCCTCGCACAGTCTCCGTCCCCTCCCGTCCCCTCCCCAGGACCTGGAGCAGTACGCAGCCAGCTACAGCGGGCTCATGCGCATCGAGCGCCTGCAGTTCATTGCCGACCACTGCCCCCCGCTGCGGGTGGAGGCCCTGAAGATGGCCCTCTCCTTCGTGCAGAGGACCTTCAACGTGGACATGTACGAAGAGATCCACCGCAAGCTCTCGGAGGCCACCAGGTGAGCCCGGGGGCTGTGCGTGCTGTGGTCCCCCTGCGGTCCAGCCCCGGCAGGGCCCTTCCCGTGCCGCCCGACGGCACTCCATGCGGGCGCTCAACAGCATCGCTGCCTCCATGTGATCTGGCCTGTCTGGGTAAACACCCAGCAAGGACGGTGAACGGCGAAACGGGTTAGGTTCACTCTCCCTGCTGTGTGGCTGGCTGTGCACTGCCCTGGTGGCTTCCTGTGTGCACACGACACCGACTCTGACGTCCAGCAGAGCTCACGGAGACGGCCGCTTGCTTCTCTCCTCTGGGCCTAGCTGCACGCATGACCCTTTCCTGCAGGGTGTCCCCCCAGGCTGTGGGTCCCCCATGTTCTTGTCTTGCTGGGTGCTCACTCAGCAGGGGCCAGGTCCCCTGGGAGACACCCCCCCCCACACACACACACCCACTACTGGCACATGGAGTCCTGATGGCTAGGAACCTCCTCAGGGAGCTGCAGAACGCGCCTGACACCATCCCAGAGAGTGGCGTGGAGCCGCCGCCCCTGGACACAGCCTGGGTGGAGGCGACACGGAAGAAGGCTTTGCTGAAGTTGGAGAAGCTGGACACAGATCTGAAGAATTATAAGGGCAACTCCATCAAGGAAAGCATCAGGTGCTGCCCTGGGGCTGGGGGCGGGGCTGGCAGGAAGGGGAACATCAGGTGCTGCCTGGGGCTGGGGGTGCTGCCCTGGGGCTGGAGGGGCTGGGGGCGGGGCTGGCAGGAAGGGGAGCATCAGGTGCTGCTCCAGGGCTGGGGGCTGCAGGGACCTGCATGGCTCTCGGCCCAGGTCCGGTCCGCTCACGTCTGGGCCCACAGGCGTGGCCACGACGACCTGGGTGACCACTATCTGGACTGTGGGGACCTGAGTAATGCCCTCAAGTGTTACTCCCGGGCCCGGGACTACTGCACCAGCGCTAAGCACGTCATCAACATGTGCCTCAACGTCATCAAGGTGGGCCCTGCCGCGGTCGCTTGGGCGGGGGAGGGGCCGCAGGGCAGCACTGCCTGCCCGGCAGCCAGGAGGGGGCGCCCCAGGCTGAGCCTGCCCACCCACCCACCCGCCAGGTCAGCGTCTACCTGCAGAACTGGTCTCACGTGCTGAGCTACGTCAGCAAGGCCGAGTCCACCCCGGAGATTGCCGAGGTAATGCCGGCCTCCTGCCCTCTCTGCCCCAGGACCACTGCGGCCCTGCTGGGCCCGGTCCTCCCGTCTGCCCTCGCCTGTCTCAGGCCCCCTCTCAGGCCAGGGCAGGGCCCGGGAAAGGACGAGGGCGTGGAGGCCGTAGGCTCATGTATCCCACCTTCCCCTGCAGCAGCGTGGGGAGCGGGACAGCCAGACCCAGGCGATCCTCACCAAGCTCAAGTGTGCTGCCGGTGAGAGCCCTGGGGCGGGAGGGCGCCACAGCTGACTGCAGGCGAGGTCGTGGGCCCCATCAGCGCTGAGGAAATCTCCGAGCCTTGCGTCCGTTCCGTGGCTCCAGGGGTGCCTGCCTGGCCTGTGTCCTGTGTGGGGAGTGTGGCCGGGGCTGGAGGCCCGGGGCAGGTGGGCCTGGGGGTCGTTGGCAAGAGTGGCCGCGGCTGTGCATGGCTTCTGGGCCCTTGACGCCAGGAGAGCGAGGAGAGCGCCTAGTGAGTGCTCGTGGGTGTCGCCACGTCTCCATGGCCAGATTCCGCCCCTGCCACGTAGTAGGAGCAGCTGCTGCGGTGGGAGAGGCTAGGGCACGTGTCGTGGCCCCATGCGGCTCCGGCAGCTTCCCCTGGGCTCCGTTCTGCCCCCAGGCCTGGCCGAGCTGGCTGCACGCAAGTACAAGCAGGCTGCCAAGTGCTTCCTGCTGGCTTCGTTCGATCACTGTGATTTCCCCGAGGTGAGGGGCAGGGAGTCTCTGGGGCCTTGCGAACCAGGAGGGCGGCTCGTGGGTGGGGCTGTGTTGAGGGGAATCCCCGATGGAGTCCCGGTTACTCTTCCAGTGGGTGGTGGGCAGGGCGGGGGGTCACCCAGCCTTGTGTCTGGGCTTCCTCTTCCACTTGTCTCGACCGGCAGTGACCCTACGTGTCCAGACCTAAATCCCTTCTCGCCCTTCAGCTGCTTTCCCCGAGCAACGTGGCCGTCTACGGAGGCCTGTGTGCCTTGGCCACCTTTGACCGGCAGGAGCTGCAGCGCAACGTCATCTCCAGCAGGTGGGTGGAGAGTGGGGTGCGCGCCCTGCAGCCCGCCCCTCCCTGGGAGGGGGGGTCCTTTCTCTGGTCCTGTGCCTCCCAGAAGCCAGAGGACTGGTGCTCTTGGGGCCTGTGGGGCCCCAGTTCCCCGCCCTTGGCCTTCAGGGCAGCTGTGCAGGTGGGCGGCCGGCTCTGAGGGGTCTGCACCTGCAGCTCCTTCAAGTTGTTCTTGGAGCTGGAGCCACAGGTTCGTGACATTATCTTCAAATTCTACGAGTCCAAGTACGCGTCGTGTCTGAAGATGCTGGATGAGATGAAGGTGAGGGCCCACTTGCTCCAGGGGGCCAGGCAGCGGGCGGGGCAGCTGTGCCTGACCTGGCCTCCTCCGCAGGACAACCTGCTCTTGGACATGTACCTGGCCCCCCATGTCAGGACCCTGTACACCCAGATCCGCAACCGCGCCCTCATCCAGGTAGAGGTGGGGCAGGGAGGCCGAGGCAGGGCACCGCGGGCAGGTCTGGGAGCTGCAGGTGGCTGACGCGCCCCCTGCCCCGCAGTATTTCAGCCCCTACGTGTCTGCGGACATGCACAAGATGGCCGCGGCCTTCAACACCACCGTGGCCGCGCTGGAGGACGAGCTGACGCAGCTCATCCTGGAGGGTCTCATCAACGCGCGCATCGACTCCCACAGCAAGGTGGCCGGGCGGGGCGAGGCCTTGGGTGCGGGGAGGGGCCCTGAGGCCCTCAGCACCGCTGAGCCCCGCCCCTCCCCTCGCAGATCCTATATGCCAGGGACGTGGATCAGCGCAGCACCACCTTCGAGAAGTCCCTGCTGATGGGGAAGGAGTTCCAGAGACGTGCCAAAGCGATGATCCTGCGGGCGGCCGTGCTTCGCAACCAGATTCACGTCAAGGTGAGGGGGGGGGTGGCCCTGGCGTGGGGGAACAGCGGGGTGGGCACGCGCACACCTCCTGGCCTGAGCAGCTGTGTCTCTGCCACAGTCCCCACCCCGAGAAGGGAGCCAGGGGGAGCTGACGCCGGCCAACAGCCAGTCCCGGATGAGCACCAACATGTGAGGGTGCTTGTCGGCCTCCAGGGCGGTCTACACGCCCGCGCCCCCACCTTCGGACTCACCCGCAGGCTCCCATCGCTCGTGCGTGTGGCCCTTGTGGAGGTGCCACCCGTGAGCATGTGTAGGTCCCCCCACCCCGGGCTTCCACATCCAGCTTCTTGTGCTCCCTCCACCCTATTCCCTGCGCTGGGGGCCCGGCGAAGGGGGCTGCTGCTCGAGGCCCTTCCTGGGAGGAGAGAGCTGTGGGGCCCACCGTGTGCCCCCCACTCCAAGGCCCAGCCTCCCTGTTGTCGCATCATTCAGGGTTGCAGACAAGTTCAGTCTCAGCCCATTAAAGGGCAGCCTGAGAACACCCGCCTCGTGCTGTTTGTTCTTGCTACCGGGGCCTCTGAGACGCGGGGGTCGGGCCAGGGGCCGGGGCTGCCCACCCTCATGCAGGCGGCGTGGCACCTGGCAGCTGGTTCTGCGTGTCCACGGGCCGCTCCACCCTCCCGGCTCATGGCCTTGCTGGGCCTGGGGCCTCACAAAGTCTCCACTTCTCGGATCGTGCATCTTTGAAAAGATTTATTGTTCACTTTTGAACATACGTTGCAAGGAGGGGACAGATCCAGCCTGGGAGCCTGCTCCCTGGTGCAGCATTTCCGGGCTCCCAGCGGAGGCCAAGGGGAAGACCAGCTCATCCTTCTATGTTGAGTAGCGGGAGGTTCCCTGAGAAAAGGCGTTTCCTTAAATGGGACGTGTTGAGGTCTCGGCAGCGGTCCCGGGGCCGGGGGGCAGTGTGCTGGGCGCCAACTGCCCTTCAGGCCAGGGCACTGCCCACAACCTCAGGAAAGCCACCCGGCTCCCCAGATCCTGCCGGCTGAGGCTCCTGCAGCCGGGACTGGGCCCCCTTCCAGGCTAGAGACTTCTCCAGTTTGGTTTTAAAAAGCAATCCGTGACCTGGCAGAGGAGGAAAGAGGTGGGACTCAGGAGGCCGAGGGTCCCACTGCCCTCCAGGGCCTGATGGCAGCAGGTGCCCCTCACCTGGGCAGTCGGCAGCCTCTCTGAAAGCTCGCTTCTTGCAGCAGCCCCGGCACAGGTTGAACACACACCTGTTACCCTGGACACAGGGAAGCTAGTGAGCTTGTGGCTGATGCCCCCCCACACCCCCACACTGAGCAAGCTCCCCAAAGTGCAGGGCTGGCCACGAATAGGAGGGCTGCACCCCTGCGCAGGGCCTGCCTTCTCCCTGTGAGGGGCTGTCCTGAGGTGGGAGGCAGCCACCCCCCTCGGGCCCTGCCCTCAGCAGGCAGGGGGTGCTGGCCTGGCAGCGGGGACCGCCCTGCCCGCCACCCCCCACCGCTGGGCTCTGCCCTGGGCAGCACGGCCATGCTCACCTTTGGGTTTCCGCACTGATCACACTTCGCATATTTTGCTGAGAACAGAACAGAGGCAGATGGCGGCTGAGCAGTGAGCCTGCCCCCTGCCGCCGTGTCCTAGTCCTGCTGGGAGCCCCAGCCGCCCAGGGAGCAGGTGGCAGGCAGGGCTGCAGGCCTTCACACGGCAGCCTCGCCTCGGGGCCCCCCACCGCTCTCCCCGGCGTAGCTTACGCTTCAGCGAGGGATCAAAGGTCTTGTGGGGGTTCCTCAGCTGCTTCTTCTGCTTGTTCTTTGAGAGCACGTCTGCGCCGCCCTCCTCCTCCTCCAGGGCCCGCTTGCTGCGGGCTCCCCCGTTCTCCTTGCTCCCTTCCCTGGGCCTGAAAGAGCAGGGCAGCGGGCAGAGCTGGGGGCACCCGCGGGAGATGACCCGCCAGCCCGGCCCCAGGGCGAAGGCGTGCGTACAGCGCCCCAGCAGCTTGGCGCTCGGGCTGCCCAGGCTGTGGCTGGGCCTCAGAGGACCCGGTGGAAGCTCAGGGGTGTCAGGCTCTTGCCCCCAGGACAAACCCACCCGGGGCCACAAGCACTCATGAGCCACCTTATGGAAACATGACAAAGCCAGAGCTCTTCGAGAGGGGTGAGACGCAAACCTGGCACTGGCGGGCCCCTCCCCTGCGTGCATCTTGCCCCCACCGGCCCGCGGGCTGGTATGCAGCTCACCCTGGCCGGAAGTAGGGCTGGCAGATCCAGTGGAAGAAAGGCAAGCCGCCGGAGGGCTTCTCTCCCTCCTTCTGCCTGGAAATGTCCTCCTGCAAGAGCCCCGGGGCACCGCGGGTCAGGAGGCCTGGCCCCTTCCTGCCGCGCCAGCCCGCCAGCCCCCACCAGGCCCGTCGCCTGCCTGACACCGCAGCTTCAGCTCCTGGTTCACGGCCGCGACACCCTCCAGGGTCTTCACTTTGGCCAGTTCCTCTCGAAGCTCCTGGTGCACCTGCAGCCTGAGACAGAGGCTCCGTCGCCCAGAGCCCACCCCACCCCCCACCGCCACCACCACCACCACCACCAAGCTCTAGCCCTGCACATGGACGGGGGCTCGGTCCTTCTCCTGATCCGGACCCCACTCGGTAGCAAGCTTTCCCACTGTTTCCAGAGAGCTCCCTCTAAACCTCCTGAGACCCCAGGAGAGGCTCAGACCCAACAGCGTCTGTCTCGGGGAGAAACTCACGTGTGGTGCCACAGCTTGAAGAGGTGGGCCCGGACGTAGGACAGGGGGCAGGGGTGCTGCCGCACGATGTCCAGGTACTCCTCGGCCAGCTCCCACACGGCAGGGCTGCGGCCCTCAAACAGGGCAGGGTTGTGCAGGTTGCCCTCTGTGGGGTATGGAGGTTGGGGCTCGAAGCTGTGGGCGCACACGTCTCAGAAGGATGACCCCGCCCCACACACACACATCATGCCAGGGACAGCCGGGAGTCTGAGGGCTCAGGCCCATCAGGCAGACGGGGCCCTGCCTCACCTGCGCTCATGACCCCCTGAACCCCTGTGTCCTGGATGCAACGCTCCACATCCCGTAGGCACTGGATGTTCCCGTTGGCAAACACGGGGATGGCTACTGCCTTCCTGTCAGGAGCAGGCGGACAGACCCTCAGACGACAAAGCCCCTGTCCCTTCACCCCCATGCCAGCACTCCAGCCCTCAACTCCACAAGCAGGCGCTTCTTCTCCCAGGGCACCGCCCTCCCCTGACAGCCAAAGGGCGGGCCCCCTGGTCTCGGGGCCGGGCCGCATCCCCTGCCCTGGGTCGGCCCCGGGTCTGCCCCCGTACTCACCGCACGGCCTTGATGTGCTCCCAGGACGCAGTGCCCGACAAGGGCCCCTTCTGCTCCTTGGTGCGCCCGTGCACGGTCAGCAGCTGTAACACAGCAGTGCCTGGCTCTACCCTGCTCGTGGCCAGAGACCCCCAACCAACCCCAGGGGACACTCTCGCTTTGGCGTCAGCTACCCATGATGACCTGAGCAAAGCAGCCTTGGGGCTCCCATGTCCCACACATCCACCCAGGACGCAGAGCGGACAGGCCCAGCCCTGTTCAAGGGCCAGTGTTCCTAGGCGGGGTAGCACCCGAACTCCAAAGGCATCAGGGACGGGTGGGTGGGCACCCACCTGACCCCGCGACGGGGGGCAGGTGGGGAGAGGGCGGCTGAGGCCTGGCACCTCCCCCGACCAGTACCAGCCCCTCCTTGGGAGCATGCGGCTCACCCACCCTCATCGGGCCTCACCTCGTGGTCACCACGACTGCAGTCCACCCCAGTCCGGCAGTGCCCCCAAGGATTCTGGGGGTGAGGACCCCTCTGTACCCAGAGGACACAAGGCAGGGGAGCAGCACACGGCCTGCGAGCCCACAGCCCTCACCTGGCAGCCAGCCTTCTCCAGCATCTGGGCATACTTCACGGTCTTGTCAATCTCTGGGAAGACACGGATCTTGCACGTGACGGGGACAGAGAGTTTCTCATGAGCCAGCAGAACTGCGGGAAAGGAGAGTGGGCTTCTGAGAAGTGTGGCGTTCTCTTCAGGCCGTGAGGAACCACAGCCAAGCCCCACTGGAGCACCTGCCTCCATCCCCCAGGGTGCTGGAGGGGCAGGATGGGGCCAGAACACCTGCCGCCAGCCCTCCCGTCTGGCTCGAGGATGTGCAGCTGGCGCAGGACAGCCGACTTCCCAGCCCCTTCTGTAGCAGTGAGAGCACCAGGGCCAGGACTCATCAGCCACCGTCTCGGGGCTCCTTCGCCATGACCCAGCCTGACCCCCCACCTGCAGCACACAGCCGACTCACTCATTCTCTGGAGCAGGTCCCACTCCTCCTGCAGGAAGGCACCATAGTGACCTGCAAGAGACCAGCATGGATGGCCCTTGGCCCCCCTCCTCCTCTTGCACCCACACAGGCCTCGAGCCCCCAGCCAAGCCGGTCCCGAGGAGCAGCAGGGCCAATCGTGGACTTGGGCAGTTTCTGAGCATCACACCTGCGGGGGGAGCTCCAGGGCACCGCACACCACGGCTGCCCGGCAGTCTGGGACCAAGCAGCAATCCCTCGGACTCTGAAGAAAACCTCTGAGCCCGGACCCAGGGCTGACCTCCGGCCTGCACACCTGGCAGTGTGACAGGTCACGGGACCTTCTTCCCACCAGGAGTGTTTACCCACAGGGAGCTTGACGACTGCCGGGCACCGTGGCCAGCGAGGAGCCTGAGAGCCAGCAGAACCCTGTCCCTCCAGGTGGGGGAGCAGAGGAAGGGCTGGGACGCCACCTGCACGGCCCTCCGCCAAGCCCACCCACACCCCAGCCTCCAGCGGGGCACCTGCGCATTCAGGGCCCGGCCCCGCCCCGGGCAGTGCTCTACACAGCGACGGGAACTGAGCTCACCTCGCTTGGCTATCATCTGCGGGCAGCCCAAATTCAGGTCGATGGCGTCACAGTAATCCTGGGCCAGGAGAGCCGCCTGGACGAACACCTCCGGGTCATTGGCACAGAACTGGGAGACACAAACGGTACCTCAGCCCCCAGACCCACAGCGAGTTCGCGTGGGACCCATCAGGGCTGGGGTCCGCGGGGCTGCGCGGGATGGCATCGCGCCCTCCTTGGTTACAGGATGACACGAGCCCTCCGGGGGGCGAGCCACTGATTCACGCTGGTCTCCACGTCAACGGAAAGCTGGGATCGCTGACCTTAGAGACCAGAACGTTCTTCAACAGGCAGCACCGAGGGCGCCCCCCTCCGAGGCTGAGGCAGCTCCCGCTGCGCCGCAGCACCCCCCAAGGAAGGGGAAGCAGTTTCTGGGAGACGCTCCACCTGCAGTCTGCGGCCCCTGCCCCCCACCTGCACAATGAGAGGCCGGTCCTCGGGGCACACTTCGCAGTACAGGTTCTCCTTCCGGTAGTTGGCATCGCGGACGAAGACCTGGGCGTGCAGCATGGGGGTGTAGCAGAGCTGGGCCCCGTGCCGGCGGCTCAGCAGCCTCCAAGCCAGCTCACTCTGGTCCACCATGGGCGCCACCACGTGGCGAGCGCCCCCCAGGGTGCGGCTCCAGAACTCGAAGCCCTGCAGCTTTGGCATCGCCTCGGCCCTGGGGGGTGCGGGGAGCAGCGGCTCAGCGGGCGGCGCGGGCGGCGCGGGCCGGGGCGAGGCCCCTCGGGCGGGCCCAGGACGGAAGCCCAGGCCCATCCCCTTCCAGCAGAGCCCCCGCCCCGCCCGCCCCGCCCGCCCGCGGCCAACGAACCCGGGAACCCGCCGTCCCAGCCCACGCCGCGCAGCTCGGGCCCCGGGGCCAGGCGGACCGCCTGCCCTCCGTCCCCACGAGCAGCCCGGCCCGAGCGCGGCCCCCCCGGGGCACAGTCCCGGCCACTGAGCGGGCGCCCTGGGGGGGTCGGCACTTCCGGAGGCCCGAGGCGGCCGGACCCGCGGGACGCCCACCTGCGCCCGGGCTCGGGCTCCTCCGCGACCGCCGCCGGGCCTCCGGGAGCCGGGGGGGGGGGGGGGGGGGGGGGCTCCCTCGGGGCCCGCAGGCCGCCACGCCGGGGCCGCCGCCCGGCCCAGGGCTCCGCGCCGGGGCCGCCGGAAGGTGCCTCCGCCAGGGCGGTCCGGGCGGCCCGCGGTGCGGCGGGAATCGCGTCCCCGGGAAACCGCGCCCGGCCGCGGAGGGGCCCCGCCCCGCGGGGTCGGAGGTCAGAGGGTGGAGGTCGGCCGGGCCCCGCCACGGCTCGCCCGGGCGGGGAAGGGCGGCGCGCCGACCGCGGGCGCCGAGTTCCACTCCGAGCCCCCCGCCTCTCTCTCCTAAACGGGCCGCGAGCGCCCCGCGTCGGCCCCGCACCGGCGCCCCAGCGAGCCCCCAGCAGCCCGGAAGTGCCGCAGTCCGGAGGCCACACCCCCGCACTTCCGGGGCCGCCGCGCGGGGACCACCCGCTGGGCGCGGGGCCGGTTCGCGACGCCGCGCACGCGCAGCGCGTCCCCCGCCACGGGGGCTGGCGCAGGCGCAGTCGGGAGGCGGCGGCGGCGGCGGCCGGGGCCGGGGCCGACCTTGCTCCGGCGGGTCCCTCCCGGGTCTCCCCGGCCGCTCCCCGAGGACGGGCCGCCCGTCGCCCCGAGCCCGCGGCTGCATCCGCGCTTCATTTACAGACTTGGGCCGGACGCCTGGCGCCGCCGGTGGGGACGCTTTCCAGGCCTCTTCCCCCAAATCCGTGTCAAAGCAGGACTCGACCCAAGGCACGGACCTGCGACGGCGCTTCGGGAACAGTCGCTGCCGTCGGGCCCGGCTGGGTCGTCCGTAGAGGTCACTCAAAATTGTCAGAAAAAAAGGATGTTGGAGAAAGGTAAGCACAGAGCGTTAGTGCTGGAGGGAGGAGCCTGCTGACGGCCTTGGCCTCTGCTCCTGGGCCCAGAAGAGTCGGGTGGTTCCGCCGGGACCCCCCAACCCCCCCACCACCACCACCAGAAAACGAATCTACAGTTAATAAGTGAGCTCCTCAGGGTCAGGACGCGGAAATCATCCTTTTTTTTTTTTTTTCTTTTTTTTTTTTTAAGTAGGCTCCACTTCCCGCAGGGGCTCGAACTCACAACCCGGAGATCAAGTCAGCAGTTCTGCCGACTGGGCCGGCTGGGCGCCCCAGAAGTGCATTTGTTTGTATTAAAAGAAAGAAGTAAAACCTGAAGTCGTGGTCACAGCACTATTGGTGATTGAGCCAACAGAAATGAAACGTCTAGGGCAGCCCACCCACCCCACCCACCCCACCCACCCCACCCGGGGGCTCAGCGGTCTAGCGCCACCTTCATTCGATCCGGGGCGTGACCCCAGGTCGGTCCCACGTCGGGCTCCCTGCATGGGGCCTGCTCCTCCCTCTGCCTGTGCCTCTGCCTCTCTCTCTCTCTCTCTGTGTCTCTCAGAATAAATAAATGAAATCTTTCAAAAAAGAATGTTCTGAGCAATGCCAGCGGCCGTGCGTGTGCATGGGGGCGGCCCTCCGTGCGCTCTGTCGGTCTGCGTAGCCCCCAGCACCTCCCCGGTTCGGCGCCCAGAACTTCCGAGTCGGTCTCCAAGCCCAAGGCCTGATCCTCCAACTGCTGCTCTTCCGTTCCACCCGCGTTCGGTTCTCCGCGTTTCCACTCACGCTTCACAATCAGCTTGTCGGATTCCTGTGTTGAGCCGCAAGGCTGCTGGGCCTGTGGCTGGGATCACGCTGAACTCGGGCCCGCGTGGGGGGCAGGGGCGTTAGCCTGCGGGGCCTCGACCTCCCCACGGTGCCTTCTGAGCTCCCCGAGGAGGCTTCCCCAGCGCTTGCGAAGTTCACTTCGCAGCATCTCGTGCTCTGGGGTTCCTGAGGCTGCTGTAGACGCAGCATTTGTCCCCTTACCTCATCATTGCTGCCGGGAGGTGATAAGCTTTTTTTTTTTTTGGTCCTCAGAGTCAAGATTTTCTCTTTATCTTTGGTTCACGGCGGTTTGTTTGTGTTACGTCTGACTGGTTCTACTCGTATTGCTCGTGTTTGGGCGTCGCTGAGCTGCTCGGCGGCACAGAGGACATCAGCGGGTGTGCAGCCCTGCTCTCCCCCGCGCCGCCTCGGCCTGGCTGCCCTCCGGGCTGCTTCCTCGGGCTCTGCTCCATCTGCCCTCCGCCCTCGGGGCGCCAGGCAGCCCTCCCTGCCCCCCTGGCCTGTCATCAGCGCTGCGGGGGCGACAGGAAGGGATGGGCCACCCTGCTGAGGCCCAGCCTCCAGCCGCGCAGGCCACCCCCCAGGTCCTGCAGCTCAGCAGGTGCACTGGGGGGCACCCAGTGGCAGCCGGGGAGGGGACCTGGCGCTCAGCTGCCCCCCGACTGCCCCCGGAGCGGCGAGCTCACCCGCACACCCCCACCGCCCTCTCCGGCAGGTGTCAGAGGCCGCCACGACCCGCTCCATCCGTGCCCCGGTCCCCGGGGCTCACTGGGGGGACAGTCGCCACCACCTGCAAGCGTGGACCTGCTATGTCGCGACTGACTTCAACGTTGGGGGTCGAGGGTTGGGTCCCTGAGCTGGTGCGCAGCCTCGCTCTCCGCCTCCCTGCGCCCGCAGACCCGGAGGGGGGCTCTGCAAACACGCGAGCAGTTGTGGTTCCAGCCCACCCCTCGGGCTCCCTTGTTCTGCGGCCGCAACCCCAAGGCCAGGATGATTTGCTGTCCTCCTGCCTGGGCGGGGGGGACACGCACCTGCCACGGCCAGCAACTCCCGGGCGCCAACCTCACCCATGCGAACTGTACGCACACTCCCTCGTTTCTCTGTGTCTCCAATTTTGTTTTATTTTTTTTTAAGGATTTTATTTAAGAGCCAGAGTGAGCAAATGAGAGAGAGAGAGAGAGAGAGAGCTCGCAAGCGACTGAGCACAAGCAGCGGAGGGGCAGAGGGAGAAGCTGACTGCCGATCGGGGAGCCTGACGTGGGACTCGATCCCAGGACCCTGGGATCACGGCCTGAGCCTAAGGTAGATGCTCGATCGCGGAGCCACCCGGGGGGGCCCACCTTTCAGGGAACTACTCAATACCTTGTGTGTTCAAAGAGTAAAATTAAATCAAGACAAAACTAAAATTGGAGCACCTGGGTGGCTTCACGGTTGAGTGTCTGCTTTCAGCTCAGGACCTGATCCGAGGGCCCAGGATCGAGTCCTGCATCCGGCTCCCCACATGGAGCCTGCTTCTCCCTCTGCCTGTGTCTCTGCCTCCCTGTGTGTGTGTGTGTGTGTGTGTGTGTGTGTGTCTCATGAATAAATAAATAAAATTTTCAAAACAAGAATGTTCTGGGATCCCTGGGTGGCTCAGTGGTTTAGCACCGCCTTCTGCCCAGGGCGTGATCCTGGAGTCCCGGGATCGAGTCCCGAGTCGGGCTCCCTACGTGGAGCCTGCTCTTCCCTCTGCCTGTGTCTCTGCCTCTCTGTGTGTCTCTCATGAATAAATAAAATCTTAAAAAAAAATAAGATTCTATTTTTAATCTCTACACCCAGCATAGGGCTTGAACGCTGAGATCAAGAGTCACATGCTCTTACAATTGAGCCAACAGGAACCCCTCCTTTTGCCCATTTTTAAACATTATTTTTTTTCTTTTTGTTGAATTTTGAAAGTTCTTTATAAGATCTGGGCACACATTTTTTTTTAAGGATTTTATTTATTTATTCATGAGAGAGAGAGGCAGAGACCCAAGCAGAGGGAGAAGCAGGCTCCCTGTGGGGAGCCCGATGGGGGATTCGATCCCAGGACCCCAGGGTCACGGCCTGAGCCCAAGGCCGGCACTCCACCGCGGAGCCCCCCAGAATGTTGAACCAGCCTTGCCTTCCTCAACTTGGTCATGACGTGTTAATGCGGGACTCTGCATCTGCTAAAATTCTGTGTAGATCTTTTGCGTGGGTGACCACGATGGAGATTGGTACCGTTCCTGTGATGTCGGGTTTTGGTATCACAGGAACGCTGGCCGCTAGGAGAGCTGTGCATCACCCCCTTGCTGGGAGTGCACGTGTCCCCCCGGCCCCCCACTCACGTGGAAGCTCTAGTCCCCAAAGTGACCGTATTTGCAGACGGAGCCCGTAGGAGGTGATAAAGTTTAAATGAGGCCAGAAGGGTGGTACCCTCATCTGGTAGGACTGGTGGCCCTACAAGAGGAGGAGACAGCACGCGAGGCCACAGCCAAGGCAGCTGGCTGGGAGCCAGGAGGGGCCTCTCCCCGGGGCCGGATCGGCAGGAGCCCCGCCGCGGGTTTCCTGGCCGCGAGAAAACAGATCGCCGTCCAGTGTGGGTGATGGCAGCACGAGCAGACGCACGCACCCCCAAGATATTTCACGCCAATCCGAACCTTTTTGGATTTGTTGAGACTGGTTTCCCTTCCAGAATTCTGGAAGAGTTTGGATAATAGAATGGGTAACCTTTTTCTCCCAGATACCCCGTGGAATTTGCCTCTCGGGTCTGGACTTCTCCTCGTGGAAAGGTCTGAACTACGGACTTGTTTTCTTCCATAGATGTGGGGTCGCTCGGGTTGCGATTTCTTGATCACTTTGTGTCTCATGTGGACTTTTGTCGTTTTATCTAGATTGTCCAATTGTTTGGCCTGAAATCGTCCATAATATTCCCTAAGCCTCTGGACACGTGTAGAATCCCCGGTGTCTCCTCTGTGGTTCCCGCTGTGGGTACTTTGTGTCTTTATTTCCCTTCCAGCTCCATCTGCTTACGGTTTATGCAGTACGGATTTTCTCAAAGAACTCACTTCTGGCTCCGTTAATTCTGTGTTTTATTTCGTCGGTTTCCACTGCGGTGTGTTATTTCCATCATCCTGCCCAGCTGGGTCTCAGTCGCTGGGGTTTGTCGTTTCTGACTGTTCATTTGAGGGGTTTCTTCCCTCCGGCCGCAGCCCCAGGTCCAGGCCTGCCAGGGCGGCCGGGAGCGGAGCCCGCGGGTGCTGCTGGGCGAGTCAGCTCGAAAGGCCGAGGCCTTTTGGTAGTTTTCTTCAGCCTGAGGATGCTTTACCCTTGTTATCTGGTGTCTACTCATTTGAGAATATTCTAGGGATCTTTTTGTTACTGATTCTAATTTTATTCAATTGTGGTCAGAGGAAACATTTATAGAAGTCGATGCATTTTCTTTGACCTACGGACATTGGTTTCATGCCCCAGACCTCGAGCCACCTGGGTGAACGTCCCGTGCAGATTTGAAAAGAACGTGCTACGCTGCTGCTGGGCGGCGTGCTGTCAACGGGGCAAACTGGCCGAGGCCGCGTCCGCCCCCGCACGCCCTGCCGAGTTCCCATCTCTGCCCCGCCACTTCCCCAGAGCGGGCTTCTGAAATCTTGAATTTTAGGCTTGTCTGTTTCTCTCTTCGGACCTATAACCTTTGCTTCCGGGGACTGTTCTGGGGCCGAACCATTCAGGACGGCTACGTCCTTTCCGCTAGTTGGCTCTTATCACTATGCTGTGACCCTGCATCCTGCGTGTACTCTGCCGAGCCCGTCGCTGTTGACACGCTTGCCTCTCTACGTGGCAGCACGGCTGGGGGATCCTCCAGGCACGAGCAGCCCACACGTGGACATCCGTTCGCATTGGAGGACGTGCGGCCTGCCCGCCCTCGGCCACCGTGAGCAGTGCTGCTACGACCGCTGCACACGGACACGCGAGCCCCGGTTTAGGGCTCTTCAGTGCGTGCATCTCGGAGGGGACTTGGCTCAGGGGAATTCTATGCTCGACTTTCTGAGGAACATGGAAGGCCCACTGGGCTGTTTCTGGGTTCAACACACCCTTTCAGAAGCCTCGAGGTGGGCCTGGCCCCTGCCGCCCCCTGGATCCATCGGTGCCCACCTCACCCCTTGGCTCTCAGGGTGCACATGTGCAGGGGACCGCCCTGCCCTCTGACCTCCTCTGGTCCAGCCTCCGCACCTTTGCCTAAACCACTGCGATGGTCAGTCTCCCGGTCAACTTGGCCAGTTATGCCAGCAGCTGTCCAGGTGCTGCTGTGAAGCTATTTTGTTGAGGAGGGTCCTGCCTCTGGCCGCCTGACTTCAGGAAAGGTCACTCTCCATAACGGGGGGCCTCCTCCCACGAGGCAGAGCCCTGGAGACTAGGACCTCCCGCAAGTAGCGCAGGGGACCCAAGACTTGCCCTGCTGACCTCTCCAAAGGCCCTGGGGTGGACTCTGCCTGCCCTCCTGGTTCCTTTCTCTGGTCAAGCCCCCTGCCCCCCAGCCCCCCCAGGGAGTCCCGGCCCCCTGGGGCTGTGGGGAGCAGATGGGCATCCACTCTGGGCCCCCACAGCAGCTGTTGGGAGGGAAGAAGGGGAACCGCAGGCCAGAGCTCAGATGGGGTTTAATTGTGGGGGGCTCTGCAGGGGCGCGGCCCTCACCAGGTTGGTGTAGAAATGGAACAGGGTCTCCGGACAGGGTTCCTGACACGGACGGTTACAGTAAATCGCGGAATTCAAGCAGCAATTTGAATCGTATTTCTTGAAAAACGAATACAGACAAACAGAGTGGGTGCCCGGCGCCCGGGGCTGCTCCTTTCCACAGGCCCCTGCATCATGGGGTCCCTGGGCCGGGCCTCCTGCGCCGCCGGCCTTCACCGGGTGGACGAGGCCCCGGCGTCTCCCCAGCGACGCAATAAATAGGAGAACTGAATGGAGAACCGAGGAACGGACCCACGCGGCACACCAGGCTCCGCCCGGCCGACTCTTCACAGACCAGAGCAGGTCTCCGAGGCGGCGGCGGTGGCGCGCAGGGCGCGGGCAGAGGTCCCACCGGCAGGACCCCCGGGCACCCCTGGGCCGCGGCGTGGCTAGCCCTCCCGCACGCTGACGCGCGGCTCGGCCAGGGAGCTGTGGATGATGCTGAGGATGGACTCCAGGCCGCTGCCCTCCAGCAGCGTGCGGTGGTCGCCCTCGATCACATGCACGGACACCTTGCCGTCGCACACCTGGGACAGGTTGTAGTCGGCGCCCAGGCCCTCGCCGTACATGCTGCCCGTCTTGGCGCGCAGCAGCGTCACGTTGCCGTGGTAGGTGGCCTGCGGCGTGTACTGCTCGGCGGCGCGCAGCTTGTGGTAGAAGGAGCGCGCGGCGAAGCTCAGCTCGCGGGTGTCCAGGCCCGCGTGACTGTGCTGGATCAGGTCCACGGAGGCCACCACGCGCTCCTCCAGGCTCCCAAGGGGCAGCAGTGCCTCCAGCACCTACGGGACCGGGCTGTGAGCGGCTCCGAGCGGCCCTGACTGTGGGCCCCTGGGGTCCCTGCCCGTGGGCTCTGGGGAGCGGCCCCCCTCCACGCTGCAGGGTGGCCCCTCCCCCCACCCGCTCCCAGGACCCACCTTGTCGTGCTCGATGTCGGTGAACTGCTGCACAAAGAAGCACATGGCCTCCGCCTCGGCCTCCGCCTCGCAGCCGGGGGTCATCTTGGCTCGGTAGCTCTGTGGAGGGAGGAGGGGCTGCTGCAGCGGCGCTGGGGCCCTGGGGGTGGGGATGGGGGCGCACCCAGGCCACCCGCGCCCTCACCTGCGTGTAGGCCAGCACGTAGCTGTGCGAGCCGTCGAACAGGAAGAGGCTGTTGTGTGTGGGGGCCGGGCTCTGCTGTGCCGCCTGCAGTTGCGAGCACATCTCGAAGGCCACACAGGCCCCGTAGGAGTAGCCCGCAATGCGGTAGGGCCCCTCGGGCTGCACCTGCCGGATGCACTCGATGTAGTAGGCGGCCAGACTCTGGATGCTGTCCAGGGGCGCAGCTGTGGGGCAGAAGGAGGCTCAGCGGCAGGCAGGAGGCGGCCCCGGGGGCACAGGCCCCCACCCTGCTTTACTAGGGGCGTGGGGACAGCCTTGCGGGACGGGTCACACCTCCAGTGCACTGCAAGCCATAGGTGGGGATGCTGAGCTTGGCGGCCAGGCTGTGGAACACGGTGATGGAGCCTTCGATGGGGTGCACCAGGAACAGAGGCCGCTCTGAGCTCTGCACGGAGTTCAGCCGCGTCAGGGTGGGGCCCTCCGGGTTCACCAGCAGGGTGCTGAGGTTCAGCTGCGCCTGCTGATAGGTGGGGCTGTCCTGCTTGGGTGTGGGCGCCCCCCGCTCTGCAGGGAGGAGCAGAAGCCGGGGGTCACACAGGCGGCCCCCCGCAGACCCCAGCACGGGCCCACTCACCCCCACCTGCCCCGCGCCGCTGGCAGCCGGGGTGTGCGGGAGGGGCACTCAGGCCGCCGGCTGGCCACTGCCAGGAGTAGCCCCGGAGAGCAGCCGCCGGGTCCAGCGGGGCTCCCCCAGACCACGTAAATTCCGTTCTCCGAGTGCTCCCTCGCAGCCACGCACCGTCAGCCGTGCCAGCCTTCGACGAAAGCTCCTGCAGCTTCTGGAGCGTAAGCTGGCGGATGTCCCGCATGGACAGCACCAGGTCGTGCTCGCGCTCCAGCATCTGGCGCACCTCCACGCCCATGAGCGAGTCCAGGCCCAGGTCCGCCAGTGTGCTGTCCAGGTTGACGGTGGCCAGGTCCCGGATGCCTGTGAACAGGTACTCAGTTGACAACTTGGGAGGGGGAGGGACCCCGGGTGAGTGTGGGCAGCTCGGTGGCTAGTCCCCACGAGTGAGGGCCGCCCACCTTCCCAGCCCACGGCACACGGTCCCCACCCAGCTGTGCCCGGACCACTGGCCTGTCCCCTCCCGGAGCCAAAAAGCACGGCCTACTTCCGAGCCAGGGCAACGGCCCCCCGGGGGGTGAGTGTCTGCCGGCGTGGGGACGGCGTACTCCCTCACCCAGGATGTGGGCCACAGCCTTCATGAGGTCGTGCTGGGTGCTGCCATCACCCTGGGTGGCGGCCTTCTTCTCAGCCAGCACGAAGCTGCTCAGGACGGGGTGGGGCTGGTTCAGGAAGAGGTCCAGCACCTCCAAGCAGGAGGTCATCCGCTGAGGCAGCGTCCCACCGACGATCGTGTCGTTGGAACCCATCGTCTCCAGGACGATGCCCACATCGCCGACGGCGCCCCACTGCACGGCGAGGCCTATGGGAGCGCAGGGCCGGGGGCGGGGGTGAGTGGGGGCACAGGCAGGGGCGGCAGCAGGCAGGGGTCGCTGGGCGAGGGGGGACCTGGCCCACCTGGGAGGCCGTCGTGCTGGCGCTTCTCACACACGCGCTCCATGGTGGAGTTGGCGAAGCCGTAGTTGGTCTGGCCAGCGTTGCCGCGCCCGCAGCTCACAGACGAGAAGGCCACAAAGTAGTCCAGCTCGGGGCATGCCGCCCGTGTCACCCTGTGGGTGTTGGGAGTCACACCCCGCTGGCTGGCCCCGCCCCACCCCCACCAACACGCCAGGGAGCCCCCAGCTCAGGCCCCAGCAGAGGCCCAGGGCCGGGTCCCTGGGTGGCAGTGGAAACTCTGTGTTGGGGTGCACAGCAGTAGGGGGAGGCATTGCTCCTAGTGCGTGCCAGGGCAGAGCCAGGCTGGGTTGGGGGCTGGGGGTCCTGCGCCTCACCTGTCCAAGTTCACGGTCCCACTGTACTTGGGCTTGTTGACGTCCTGGAAGAACTCAGGAGTCTGGTTCTCCAGCATGGCGTCTCTCAGGACCTGGGGGTGAAGGGTGCTCAGCACCTGCCCTGACCTCACATCCCAGGGGTGCTCAGCCTGGGAGGGCCTTCCCTGGACCCCGCAGAGTCGCACTCACCACGGCCAGGTTGAAGACTCCTCCCACAGGCCCCAGCTGCGCGGCCTCAGCGATGAGGCTCTGGGCCCCATCTAGCGAGCCGATGTTGCTGGTGGAGATGAGGACCTGCACGCCCTGGCGCCTCCACTCACGGATGAGCTTGGCCTGGTAGCCTGTGGGACGCAGGGCAGTGGCGTCGGGCCCACTGGGGTTCTCCCTGAGGGCACACGAGGGCTGACCCATCGGCGTCCCCGCCCCGCCCCTCAGGCCTGCTCACCTGTGCGGATCCCAGAGCGGGAGGTCAGCACGAGTTTCTGGGCTCCTCGCAACACGAGCCACTGGGCCAGCTGCAGGCCGAAACCGCCCAGGCCCCCGGTGATGACGTAGCTCTTGTGGGCCGGGCAGAAGGTCTTGGACACGGCTGTCGTCATGGTGGGCCTGGTCACCTGTAGCGCCGCCTCCTGCTCCTCCTCGAGCACCTGGAGCCCAAGCAGCACCCCGCTCAGGCACGGCCCTCCGGGGCTGAAGCGGGGCACCCCGGGGGCCCTGCCCTCACCTGCACGACCACTTTGCCGATGTGCTTCCCTTGGGCCATGAAGCGGAAGGCGTCCTCCACCCGGTTCTTGGTGAACACGGTGCGCTTGAGGGGCCGCACTACACCGTCCCGGATGCCCGCCTGCAGCAGCGCGGCCACCTCCCACCAGCTGTGGCCTGCTTCCTCAAAGAGCGCGTCCAGCAGGATCCCGTGGAAGGTCACGTTCTTCAGGAAGACGGCCATGCCTGGGCGGGCGGGGGGCCGGCTCAGCACTCGCAGCCCCCGGCTGAGCCCGCAGCCCCCGCCTGCCCGCGAGCCTTGCTGCCCGCCTCACCCAGTAAGTGGTTGTTGGAAAGGTCGAATTTGCCGATTTCCAGGAAGCGGCCGTGCTGGGCCAGGCACCGCACACTGGCCTGCAGCTTCTCTTCGGCCAGAGAGTTCAGAACCAGGTCGACACCTTGGCGGGTGGGGAAGGAGAGGTCCTCGGCGTCACGCCCCTGGCCCGGGTCCACACGGCCAGCCCTCGAACCCGCCCGGGCTGGTGAGGAAGCGGAGAGGAGGAGGGTGGGAGGACAGGTGGAGAGCGACGGCTGTGCGCGGGGGAGGCCACTCACCCTTCCCGGCCGTGTGCCGCAGCACGTGCTGTTCAAAGGACGTGTCCCGGGAGTTGGCAAAGCTGGCGTCACTGAGCTGGGGGAACCTGGCCTGGAGGTACGCCTTCTTCTCGGCCGAGCCTGGCAGGGAGAGGCACGTGCTGGGGAGCCGGGCCGTGGGGCTGGGGTGACGGCCCCGGGCTCCGGGGAGGGCCAGCGGGCTTACCCACAGTGGTGAAGATGCGGCAGCCCAGGCTCAGGGCGATGGCGATGGCGGCCTGGCCCACGCCGCCCGAGCCCGAGTGGATGAGCACTGTCTCCCCACGCTGCACGCGCCCCCGCACCACCAGCGAGTAGTAGGCGGTGGTGTACACCACGGGCACGGTCGCTGCCTCCTCCAGGGTCCTGCGGGCACAGTGCAAGGACTCAGGTTGGGCCTGCGCCTCGGCCATGGCCGTGTGGGGCACCGGGCCACGGTCCCGCCGACTCACCAGCTGGACGGCACGTCCCACAGGAAGTTCGGAGACAGCAAGACGGAGGTGGCCAGGCCTTCAGCGGGCACCAGTCCCATCACGCGCTTGCCACTGGCGTCTCGGCCGGAGAACTCCATGCCCAGCATGCAGTCCCGCGTGGCCCATTTTCCTGCGGGAGGTGGCGGTGGTGAGCCCCGTATCTCCCGTGGTGTGGAGGGGAGGCCCAGCATGCATGCTCAGGCCCGAGGAGCCTCCAGGGTCCTGAGGGTGGCAGGTCAAGGCACCTCTTCTTCCCAGCCTCTGGCCGTGCCCACGGGATGCAGCCGTACCTGGGATGGCATCGGGGGAGAGCTTGCCCGTGGCCAACATGATGTCTCGGAAGTTAAGGGAGGCGTAGTAGACGGTGCAGAGCTGGACCCCAGGCTCGGTGAGCTGGGCGTGACGCAGAGGAGAGCAGACCCAGCGGATGGAGGAGAGGTCTCCCCGGGTGAGGACATTCACGAAGGCGTGCTCAGTCTGCTCCTCTGGTAGGCCTGAGGGCGACAGGAAGTGGGGCTGCCACAGGGGCTTCCTGGCCAGGGCCCTCCAGCCCCACTGTCGTGCTCAGCCCCCCAGATACACGGCAAGGAGCCGGTGGCATCACGGAGGCATCCTGGAGGGCTCACCGTGCTCCAGTGGGAAATGGCGGAAGGCTCCCCAGGACCCGTCCCGGTAGACGTTCATCACGAGGTCCCCCTGTAACACCTTCTGCAACTCTGAGGAGCTGGGGTCCATCTTGGGGATGGGGGATGTGCTGCTCAGGTTGGACACCAGGATGCATCTGTAGGCAGGAAAACAGATGAGGAGAGGGGGAGAGAGGGGAGGGGCAGAGAGAGGGGAGGGGAGAGAGGGGAGTGAGAAAGGGCGGGGGGGGGGGGCAGGCAGCTCTCCAGGCGCCTCACCGAACCCGGTGCCCACTGGGCTCTTTGCGGAGACAGTTCACCATGCCCACGACGCCCGACGTGACGCAGTTAGTGGCCGTCAGCCACACGGGTCGGGAGGAGCTGTCGGCCAGAATGTTCTGCAGGAGGAGAGAAGGGTTGGCCTCTGGGATGGTTCCCCAGGTCCATGGTCACGGTCACGGTCACGGTCACGGTCACGGTGCTGGGGGCCCAGCCAGGCCTGACCTTCAGCGAGTCCACCCATCGGAAGCTGGTGTCCTCCACAGGCAGGAAGACGGGGCTGTCCTGGGGGTCCGGCCGGCGGCACAGGAAGAGCGCGGAACCGTAGAAGGACCTCTTCAGGGCCACCAGGTGCAGCGACGCGCCTGCAAACACTCGTTCCCACTCGTCCTGCGTGTGTGTGGGGTGTCTCAGTGCTGGCCCCGCCCCGCCCCGCCCAGGCCCGCCCCGGCCCGCCCTCGCGGCCCCGCCCCCACACCTGGCTCAGGAGGCTCTGGCTGCCCCTGTGCTGCTGCTGCTGCTGCTGCTGCTGCTGCTCAGGGCTGGTGAGGAAGGCGACGGTCTCTCCCAGGGGGTGTCCCCTGAGCAGGGCGTGCAGCAGCAAGAAGCCGCCCTCCCTGACAGCGGCCACCATGTGGCTGAGGGCCGAGGCTGGGTCGGGGAGGGTGGCCACTGCACAGTTGCACACCAGCAGGTCGGCCGTGCCCAGGTTGCTGGGGGCGGGCTGGGCGGGGTCCCACTGGCCCTGGGCCATCCCGAGCTCCTGCAGTTTGGTCTGGGTGGCCTCCAGGGCCTGAGGGTGGCGGTCGGTGGCTGTGTAGTCCAGCTGCAGCAAGGGCTGGGTGCTGAGCAGCGTGGGGATGCGGGTGTACAGGCGACCATCACCGGCCAGCACCTGGAGGGAGGACAGCCTCCTGGATCAGCCGCCCGCTGCACAGGCCTCCTGATCCCAGCTGGGAACACCGGCCAGAAAGGCCCACCCACTGGTCAGCGCCCTCCCTGCCCGAGGTCAGGGCAGCCCGGGAACGGACGTGAAGGCAGCCTGGGCACAGCTTCTAACCCCGTGACCTCACGCCGGGCGGTCCGCACACCCACCTCCACTATGTGCATCCTGAGACTGGTCATATTCTCCAGGGCGGTGTCCACGCACGCCTTCAGCGCCGAGGAGTCCAGAAGGCCGCAGAGCAGGGGGTCATCGTGCAGCAGGGACCTCTGCTGGGCCAGGAGCTGGGCCAGCTCCAGCTGCAGGTTGCCATTGAGCTGCAGCTGGCAGGCAGCTGCCAGCAACTGAGGCAGGCCTCCCTGTGGGGACTCGCGGGGGACCTGGGCCCCGTCCAGCCCGGGTACCACCATCTTCAGGCCCTGCTGGGCCACCTTGGTCTGCAGTGTTTGTGCCAGCCCTGGGGGGTGAGGGGGCAGAAAGGGGCGCTAGGGAGGGTCTCAGCTGGGCCAGCGCTCCCCCCAGCACGTCTGCCTGGAGCAGGGATCCATCCAGAACCAGGATCCATGTGACTGTCCTCCCAGGGCCCACATCCTGGCCCCGTCCCTCCATAAGCAGGTGCATGAGAGAGACGGGGTGGGCAGCCTGGTCCCCTAAGACTAAGAACTACCCTTCCAGGGTGTCACGGGTTGTGCCCCTGACTAAGCTATGAGCTCCACAGAGGAGGGCTACCTACGTAGTGCGGGCTCCGTGCCCGACATCCCACGTGGCACCCCAGTCTGTTCTACCCACCCATCTGCATGGGGACGGGACGAGCCCTTGCAGGGGACAGTCTGCAGGGCCAGGCCCCTGTGGCACCACACGCAGATGGCTGGCTGGGGACGTAGCGAGGAAGGACCAAATCCAACATTGTGCCTAGAGCCCCTCCCCAAAGATGGGGAGCCTCTCGCAGAAGCAGCAGGAGGCTGCAAAGCGCGGGGGGTGTGGTGAGAAGCTGAGAAACCCCCCCATTGCCAGAGGCGTCAGGGGCCAGAGCGCAGGTGGGGAGCTGGCCTCACCCCTACACAGCTGCAGCTCCTCCTGCAGGGCTGCGTTTCCAGCCAGGACGCCTCCCTCCATGTAGGGGGTGAAGGAGAACTTCTCTAGGATGGGTGCACGCTGCTCCTGCTGCCGTCTTGGGGCCACAGAAGCGTGCAGGCCCAAGATGAGGGCACCGCCGGCTACCGTGCTGTTCAGGCAGCTGCTCACCTTCACGTCGACCACTGAGGAAAGAGGTGGGTGAGCGTGGGCAGCACCCGGCGCAGCGACACAGGCCTGCGGGGACTGGGCGTGGGCCTACCTCGGGCATCGCCCTTCAGCGAGTACACTTTCTGCTGGTGAAGGGCGGGGTCGATGTGGATGGAGGTGATGCGGGTGGGCAGGCACAGGGTGCGCTGGGGATTGCCCAGGATGGACGTCTGCAGCATGGCGTCCAGGAAGACCACCCAGTTGTCCTTCCACAGCAGCTGGCCGGCTTTGCCTGTGGCAGAGGGGCTGTCAGCTTGGCTGGCCCGGGTCTCTCTTGCTCACGGCACCCTCTCCTCCATGCCCTGGCCTGGGTGCCCCCAGCGGCCCCTCACAGCTTGGGTGACGCCGGAGTCACATGGCACCTGGATTCTGGGCAGCAGGTCAGGCCCTGCCTGAGGGGAGGCAGCCCCGAGGCTCGTTCCCAGAGCATCAACGGACATTTGGTGTCCTACCTTCAAGGTTGGTCTCCAGGATGCCCTGGAAGTGGGGGCCGTAGTCATAGCCACGCAGCCGCAGCTCCTTGTACACGTCCCCCTGGGTGAGGCGGAACGCGGCCATGGGGTCCGCGGGGTCCGTGGGGTCCACGGGGTCCGCGTCACCATGGAGGTCGAACAGCTTGGGGTCAGGGTCCTCCCACTGGTACACTTTCCCTATGGGTCGGGGGCAGAAGGGTCTGAGGGTGGGCAGAGAGGAGCTGGCGGCCGAGGTCCACTCAGAGGCCAGCCCCTACCAGACCCTGCAGCCCGGCCAGACGCCCTCTGCTCACCGCTCACTATCAGGTTGCCATTCTCAGACACCTCGAAGCTCTGGGAAGCCTCTAGAAGCCGCACTTCTAGGGCCATGGTCCCTGTGGACAGCAAGGTAGTAGATGAGCATCAGGGCTCAGCAGTCGGCTCCCCACCCTGACCCCGGCGGCCCGCCCCATCTCACCGGTCTTGGGCAAGATGGTGGCCTGGTGCAGCGTCACGTCCTCAAACACCACGGGCATCTCCTCCATGTTTTGGTTCAAGGCACGTGCCAGCATCTTCCAGGCCAGGCACAGGTAGCCGGTGGCAGGGAAGAGGACGCGGCCATCGATGCAGTGGTCCACCAGGTAGCGGTCAGGGGACTCGGGGCTGGTGTCTGTGTGGGCCGAGCCTTAGTGCCGGCGGCCAGGAGGGAGAAGCCAAGCCCCCCGGCACCCTCGCCCGATCCCTCTACTGCCCTCGGCCCCACTCACCAATCTTGCAGATGGTGGCAGCGGACGAGCCGATGGAGCCGTTGGGGAAGTCCTCGGCGGCAGGCACGTCCCAGATCTGACTGTGGTCCCACTTGATGTGGGGGGAGATGAGAGGGGTCCCCCGGGGAACCGGGAAGTCCATGGGTGGGAACAGGCCGTTGGGGTTGGCGTCCATGCTGGGGGGGGGGGGCGGGGAGGTGTGAGGCGCACACCGGGCCCCGGTGGCCTCGCCTGGGACCATCCTGTCCTTCCCACGGCCCACCACCTCCCATGGGACCCCGGAGATCGCCGTTGCGGTGGGGGCCGTAGCACGGGGCTCGGGCGGCCCAGCACCCCCAGCCCACTTCCTGGGGATGACCCCACGGCCACGGAGCAGCCCCCATAACAGGCTTCACCATCGGGAGAAGCCGGGCTAGGCCCCCGCCCCCGGCAGCGGCAGCTGACCCACCCCAGCAGGTGCAGCTTGCCCGTGTTCCTGAGGAAGAACTCCAGGTTGTCCTTCTGCTCCTTCTTCATCAGGGGGATGATGGCGCAGCTGGGCTTGAGGCCTCTCTTCAGGACGGCCTGCGGGGGCAGACGGCTTGGCCTTCCCACGGGTTCCCACCCTCCCGAGGCCCATTCCCGAGGCCCCCCGGCCCCCGCCGCCCCTTCCCGCCCCCGGGCCCCGCGGGGACGCACCTGCAGCAGGGCGTGAGGCGCGATCTCCACCACCACGGCGTGCTCAGGCACGTGGCACAGCGCCTCCTGGAACAGCACGGGGCTCACCAGGTTGTTGACGCTGTACTCCGCCGAGCACGTGCGGGCCAGGCTGCCCTGCCACTGGGCCTCGGGGATGGACGTGCTGAGCCAGCGCGCGGAGCGGGGCTTTGGCTCCCGGATCACCTGCACACACGGCACGGTCAGCTGTGTGGGCACTCGGCCCCCACCCCCGCCTCCAGGAAGCCCCCCGTGGGGCGGCCAGCCCACCTTCTTGAGGGCCTTCAGCAGCGTGGGGGCGATGGACTCCATGAAGTAGGAGTGGAAGGCCATGCCGCCCGTGCGCACCTCCTTGGCAAACACGCCCTCCTGCCTCAGCTCCTCCAGAAACGCGGCCACCTCAGCCTAGGGACAGGGGTGCCAGGAGTGGACGAGTGGAGCCGGACCGTCTGCCTGGGTCCCCACGCAGAGCTCTCCGTGAGGGTCGGGAAGGGACTCGGGGACAACCCTGGCCTCCCGGGGGCTACCTGAGGTCCCGAGATGGTCACTGTGTCTTCAGAGTTGTGGCAGGCGGGCACAACGCCAGGGGGACAGCGCCGTTTACACTCCTCCCAGGTTAGGCCTGTGGGCAGGGATGGCCTCAGGGGGCGGGCAGCGGGCAGCGGGGAGCGGGGAGCCAGGGCCCCACCGAGAGGAAGGCGCTGCCCAGGGCAGGCCTTAATGACAGGGGTGCGGTAATGACAGCCGCCGAGCGGGGCCTTTATGGGGCACTTTCACCCCTGCCGTGTTTGATCTCGGGGGAAGGTGTCTCCCCTGTCGTCCCACAGGCGGGGAGCCGGGTCCTCCGCAGTGAGGACAGCCCGCCCCCACCAGTCCCTGGGGTGGTGGCTCCGGGAGGTGTCCCTCCTGTCCCTGGCCTAGCCTACTGCTTCTCCTGCAGCCCCTGGGGGGCAGGTGCCAATGGAAGGGGGCCAGGGCCAGTGCACCCGACACCCTACATCTTCTCGTGCGGGGGGGGGGGGCTGTTCATGCCCCACATGGCTTTAGCCCAGTTGGTAGGAAGAGCAGCAGTGTGGACTGATGCTGACCGCTGAGTGGGCAGGGGCCGGGGGGGGCCACTGGGCACCCTGCAGTGAGGACGGTGGCCGGTGGAGCTCCTTGAGACCCCCGGCCACTCTCCAGGGTGAACACGAGGAACGCCAGGGATGACACCCCCACCCCAAGGGCTCCTGGGTTGGTGGGAGGTGTGGAAAGGGAGGGCCCAGAGGGGACACCCACCCACGGCCGCCATGGCCCCTGGTGGGATGCTGGCCTCCTTGATGCACTGGCCCCTCCAGTAGGCAGTGAGGACGGCCTCCTCCTGAGAAAGGCAGCCGTCTGCGTAGCCGCAGGCCACCTCCCCCAGGGAGTGCCCGATGATGCCGTCGGGTCGCAGGCCCATGGAGGTCAGCAGGTCTATGAGGGCGATCTGCGAGGAATGGGGACGTGATGGGTCACACCTGTCCTAGGGATGCCAGGTTGGCCCCCAGCACTGTCACAACAGCCCCTAGACCCCATGGGCGCACCTGGATGGCGGTGAGGCTCACGAAGGCATGGACGATGTCGTCAAAGGTGGTCTCGTCCGTGCTCAGCAGCAGCTCAGGCAGCTGCAGGCCCAGGGGCTTCAGGGCCTCGCTGGAGCGCAGGATGGAATCGTGGAAGCTGCTCAGGCGCAAGAGGCTCGACCCCATGCAGCGCCACTGTGCGCCCATCCCTGTTCCAGAGAGAGGTGTCAGGGTGGTGGCCGGCCAGCCACAGCCACTGCTCCCCCTCCGGGGAGGGCCTGGGGAGCAGGGTTCGCACCAGAGCAGATGAACCAGAGGGGACGCCGGCCGGCAGGCAGCTGCTGCACCTCCTGCACCTCATGGCTGCTGTCCTCGCCGCCCAGCACGGTGTAGCCCCGGAAGGGCATGGCGGAGGGGGAGCTGGCCGCGATGTCATTGAGCATGGTCATGAAGGCCACGTCCCGGCTGTGCTGCTGGCCCTTTTCCAGCAGGCACCGCACGGCCTCCGGGGTCCGCCCGCTGGCCCGCAGCAGACGGGGCAAAGTGATGTGTGGGGTGGTCAGCCTGGGTGGCCGCGTGTTGGGCTGGAGGACGACGTGCACGTTGGAGCCGCCAAAGCCGAAGGAGTTGATGCCCACGTTGCCTCCGCGGACAGGCCGGGGCCGGTCCACCACCTGTAGCCGCCCATCCTGGAGTGCCAGGATCTCAGGGTTCGGGCTGTGGAAGTGCAGGTTGGGAGCCCAGAGCCCATATTCCAGAGACAGCAGCACCTGCGGGGGGCTCACAGTTGGCGGGGCAGCCGGCCCTGTGCTCCCTACCCTGCTGCCTGCCACCACGCGCTCCGTCCCCCGGCCTCACCCTGCCACAGCCCCAGGACCCAGTGGCCAAACCACACCCCCCCACCGCCCCGTCTCCCCGCAGCCCACTCCAGGTCTTGGTTCTCACAGGAACTGCAAGCAGGTTACAGCAGCCCCAGGAAGCCAGAAGCTGCCAGTGCACGGTCCCCCCAGGGCCCGGCCACGGCACGGGGGGCCTGAAGGGTGGGCCACCTGCTGCGGCTGTTGTGGCCACTGCCACCCACTCTGGCCGAGTGTGGGCCCCGCAGGGCACCAGAGGCCGGCATGCCTCAGCACAGCCCGTGGGAACCCTCCCCGCCTGCCAGGAAGGACGGCTGCACAGCAGCCCGCTGACCTTGGCCAGAGCCGCGAGCCCCGAGGCGGGCTCCGGGTGCCCCATGTTGGACTTCGTGGACCCGATCAGCAAGGGCTCCCGGCGGGTGCCGCAAAGGGCTCGGTCGATGCTGTTCAGCTCCTGGGGGTCGCCCACCTATGGAGGGCGAGGGGAGGATCAAGGCCCACCCGGGTGGCTCTTGGGCGTGGGGGCGTGGGCGGGCTCTCACCTTGGTGCCCGTGCCATGGGCTTCGATGTACTCGAGGGACTCTGGGGCCAGCCCCGCCGGCTCGTACAGGGAGCGGATGAGCTGCTCTTGCACCTCCCCGGAGGGGAAGGTCACACCTGCGGGAGGAGCCAGACCTCAGCCCCCAAGCCACGACCCCGGCGTGGCCCGGCCGGGGGAGGGGGGCACCCACCTTGTTCCTTGAAGCCATCCGTGTTGGTGCCGGCATTCAGGATGGTAGCGTACACTCGCCGGGCCAGGGACTTCTTGGTCAGCAGCATGGCCACCACGGCCTCCGCCCGGCAGTAGCCGGCTCCTGGGAGCAGACGGCACATCAGACCCAGGGGCTCTGGGGCGGCAGGGCAGGTGCCGTGGCCCCCCCGGTCCGCCACTCACCAGCCTCGTCGAAGGACTTGCAGATGCCCTCTGGACTCAGCATACCCAGCTTCATGAACTGTACAGAAGTGTTGGGCTTGAGCAAGATGTTGATGCCACCCACGATGGCGCACGGGCACTCCCCGCTGCGGATGGCCTGGTAGGCGCTGTGCAGAGCCATCAGGCTGGAGGAGCAGGCCGTGTCTAGAGTGATGCTGGGCCCTGCGAGCAGGAGTACAATGTGGGGCCCTGGCGGCTCTAGTGGGGGGGCCCTCCACTGCGAGTCCGGGACGCTGACCCCTTGGCCTTGACCAGCCTTCCTGGGGGAACCAGAGGCCCAGAGGGGCTGGGGGGTACCCACCTTTAAAATCAAAGAAGAAGGAAAGGCGGTTGGCCATCATGGCACGCTGGCAGCCCACCATGCTGTAGCCCAAGAGGGTCTCGGGGTCTCTGCTGAGGGCCTCTGAGGCCTCAGAGCCACTCACGCCCACCCAGACACCGGTGCGTGTCCCTCGGAGTGACGCCGGGTTGATGCCTGCAGGAAGCGACGGTAAGACCTCGCGGCCTCTCCAGCCTGGGTCTGGGCGACCCCTTCCCCGCTTCACTCTGGAGGGGCCCCGGCAGGGCAGCCAGCCCAGGTAGGGCTGAGGACAGATAACTGGGTCACATGGAACCCGGGGCCCAGGGGACGGTAGGGCGCCAGGCTGAGAGACCAGAGAAAGCCGGAGGTGAGGACAGAAGGCAGCATTGTCCCCAGAATACTCCCCTGGCCCCTGGTGTCACCAGTAGGGTCTGGCAAGCCCCGATAACCAATGAGCACCCAAGCACCAAGGGCAGCCTACCCTAGGACGGGCCAAGATAAGGAAACAGAGGGAGACAAAGGCTGAGTGTCCAGGCTGGGAAAGGAGGGGGGGACCCTGGCCAGGACCCGGGAAGTGGCATCCAAGGTCTCCGGGTGGGGACTGGGCAGTGGGAAGGCCTCTGCTCGCCCTTCACCCCGGGGTGCTGTGTGCCTGCAACACTGTCCCTTTCAGTGAGGGCCGGGGGCTGGCCGTGTGGAGCCACTGCTGGAGGACGAGCTGCAGGGCCAGGACTGCTAGCCGAGGTGGGAGCGGGTGGCCCCAGGGTCCCCTTCAAAGCCAGGCTCCTGCCACCTACCTGCTGAGGCACCACACCCACACGGTTGGCCTCCTCTCCCTGCCAGCTACGCCTTCCATGCCCCTGCGGCAGTAGGGACAGGTCTGTGCCCCGGGACGAGGGACAGCCGTCTCGAGGCACTTGTCCAAGGCCACACACAACCCAGACGGGGGAGAGTGGACAGCACGAGTCCCGGGGGCTGGACCCCACCTCCTGCCCTGCCTGGCACGCCACCCTCGCCCCAAGAGCAGCTGTCCAGTGGGGAGGGCGGGACCTGGGCGTCCGGGCACACCAGGGCCACCTGCATGTGTGTTGTGAAACCTCGACCTGCTCGCAGGCCCACGCCTCCCCAAGCCCCTGGGCCTGGACCAGCGCCCCAGGGAGCCGCAGCGCCTCGCGCTTCCTGTGGCTCCAGGCTCTGACTCGGGACGCGGGCTGCTTTTAGCAGTGAGAAGAGTTGGCGCTCTCCCGACTTCCAGGGAGGGGGACCCTCAGGGACGGGCCCCCCCCGCCGGCCAGCAGCTTCACAAAGACTCACCTCCGTCCAAGATGGCCTCGTACGCGACCTCTAGCAGCAGGCGCAGCTGCGGGTCCATCGTGTGGGCCTGCTTGGGGTGGACCCCGAAGAAGGAGGCGTCAAACCGGGACAGGTCCTTCAGCTTGCCGGACCTCCTGGGCAGGCCGTAGAGCCCTGCAGACACAGGCAGGGCCGGGCCGGGGGCCCCGAGTGACCCACGGCCAAGTCCCTGCGGCGGCGGGCGAGTGCTGTGGGGCCCAGGGTGCCTCTGCGACAGCAGCCCCCCTTCCCCCGCCGGGCGGCCGCGTGGGAGGCGGCCTTGGAGCACAGCGCGCTGGGGACAGTGCCTCCTCCACCGCCCACCTCTGTCCTGGCCCCGGACCCCGGGCTGACGCTGCCTGGCTGCCGAGGCCGGGCCAGGCCCCACCGGCTGACTCACACCCCGCAGATCAGGTAAGGCCGCTCTGCACGGGAGCCTACTGGGCGGGAGGGCGTCTAACCAGCTCCCTGCGGAGCCCGGCGTTGTGGCCGCCAGTGGCTGGGCCGGAGGGCTGCCTGGCCTCACCTGGATCTGCTCCCCCAGCAGCTCACCTGTGCCCAGCCCTGGCCCCCCGCCTCCCCTGGGCTCCCAGGCCCCGGCGTCGCGCCGGTGCCTGGTGGCTCTGCAGTCGGGGCAGGCTCAGGCTAGAGCGGCGGTGCCTGGGCAGCCGGGAGGCCGCCTCCACAGCCAGAACGGGCCGGGGCCTCCCTGGGTGGGGGGAGAGGCCGAGGGCCACCCGCTCACCTGCCTTCCACCTCCTGTCGTCGTCTGTCACCATGTCCACGGAGCCGATGAGATTGGCCCAGAACTCCTCCATGTTGTCCGACTCGGGCAACTTCCCGGACATGCCAGCAATCACCACCTCCTCCATGGCTGCTCTGCGCAGGGAGGGGAGTGCGGGGGGCCAGACGCTGGTCAGCGCTGGTCAGCCCTGGCTGCCGGCTGGCCGCGTGCAGCCTCCTGCGGGGCCGCCGCTCCCACCCTGTCCCCTGGCTTCCTGGCCCCACAGCACCACCTATGGGTTTGGGAGCAGTGACACCAAGATCCAGGTGGCCAGCTTCTGCATCCCGTGCTGGCCTGGACGGAAGCTCGGGTGCACGGCGCGGGGGTCCGTGCTGCTCCGCCCAGCGCTTGCTTCTCCTTGGGTGGGCTGGGCCTTCTGGTCTTTGGCACTGGCCAGGGACACGTGGGGCCCTGGCCTAGGTGACTGACTACAGCAGGGCCCTGCCGCCCTGTGTCTGCCCCCGCAACAGTCAGTGGCCTCTGCAACGTGCTGCTGGGCTGCTCCGAGAAGGGACCCCACAGAGGGCGGCAGGCAGGGCCACCCCAGAAGGGCCGGACCCTTCCCGGGATGGGGCCGCTCGGCTTCCGTCTGCGAAGAGCCGACCCAGGGAACCCAGCAGGCAGGGGAGAAGGGTGCCGAGGCTGAGCGGAGGTCCTGCGCCCCACCTCCCAGCTCGGTCTCCGCGGGGACAGGGCCCGACCACCGCCAGGGCTTGGGGGGACGTAGGGGTCGCAGGCGCCAGGTCCCTGCAGGGCTCTGGGGACAACGGCCCCGCAGGCCCGAGCCCCGCCGCCTGCCCGCCCCGGAGCGCGCGGCCTGGGGAAGCCCCCGCCCCGCCGGCCGCCGGGCCCGGCAGGGGCAGGGGCAGGGGCCGGGGCAGGGGCCGGGGCAGGGGCAGGGGCAGGGGCCCGGCTGCTCGTGGGGGCCCGGGCGTCGGGTGCGGGGCGCGGGGCGCGGGGCGCGGGGCGGCGCGGCGTCTCCCTCGTGGCCCGGCGGCCCGACCCCGGCCCGACCCAGCCCGACCCCGCCCGAGCCCGACCCGGGGCGCCGAGTGAAGGCCCTCGGGGGCGCGGGGCCGGCGGCCTCCCCAGTCGTGCGCGCGCCGGGCCGGGCCGGGCCGCCCAGGCCGAGGGGCCCGCGTGGCCCGGGCGCCACCAAGATGGCTGTTCGCCGCCGCCGCCGCCGCCCCCGCCCCCGCCCCCGCCCGCCGGCCCCTCCGCGCCCCGCCGCGCCCCGCCGGCCCCTCCGCCCGCCGCGCCGGCCCCGCCGTTGGAGCGCCCCGGGAGCGCGGTGCGGCCGGCGGCGCCCCCGGCCCCGGCCCCGGCCCCGGCCCCGGCCCCGGCCCCGGCCCGGCCCGGCTCGTACCTGCGGTGGCGCGGGCGGCGGGGCGGGCGGCGGAGCGAGGATGCAGCGCGGTGCGGAGGGCCCGGGCCGCTGCCGTCTCTCTGGCTCCCTCTAGGCCGGCGCCGACTCTATTTAACCGCGGCCGTCCCCGCGCGGACACGCCACATGGGCTGACAGCTTGGCTGCGCCGCCCAGGCCAATGAGCGTCGGGGCTGCGCCCCGGGACCCGGCGCGCCGCCGCCGGTGGGGTGATGCCGCGCGCCCCCGGGCCTCCGGGACCCCGCGCGGGGGCGCGCACGATGGGGGGCCCGGCACGCGGGGGGGCCGGGGGGCGCCGCGCCGCCCCCGCCCCCCGTGCCCCGCCCCCCGTGCCCCGCCCCCCCGTGCCCCGCCCCCGCGCGCCCGAGCCGCGGCACCGCCGGGGACGCACGCGCACGCGCCGGGGCCGCAGCCCGGGGCCGCCCCCTCCCGCCCCCTCCCGCCCCCTCCCGCCCCCTGCCCCCCCCCCCCCCCCGGGCCGCAGGGCCGCGTGCGCGCCGCGCGGTGCAGCTGGACGGGGCTGTGCTTGGGCGCCACTCGGGGACCGTGCGGGCGCGGGCCGGGGCGCGGACCCCCAGGACCCGCCGACCGGCCCGCGCTCGGGCCCCGCGGAGCCGGGCCGCGGGGGGGGCGGGGCTCGCTGGCCGCCGCGGCCAATCGGGGCCCGGGGGCGTGCGCTGCGGCCCAATGGCGGCGCGCGAGTGGGCGTTGCTAGGCGATAGGGTGATGGGCCGGGCGGCGCGGCGGTCGTTGACCCCTGCCGAGGGCGCCCCGGGCGGGGTCACTGCCGGTCAGCGCGGCGCGGCCCGGCCTCCCCGAGCTCGCGGGCCCGGCGCGCGCCCCTCGGCCCCGGAGCCCGCGCCTGGGGCGGGGCGCGGACCCCGCTCGGCGCCGCTCGAACAAAGGCGCCCCCGTGGGCAGAGGCGCTGGCGCGCGCACGTGGCCGCCCGCACCCTCCGACGCTCCCCTGCGGGCTCAGGGCTCCCGGGCGGCCGAGCTTCCAGAAAGGCCCGGGCTTCCGGCCCCGAAGGCGACAGACCCACCGTGTAGCGAGGGCTCGGCACCCAGGCCGCCGCGGGGCCCCCACGCAGGCCCTTGGCGAGGCCAGCGGAGCCGCCGGCGGCCCCCAGGGCGGCCGTGCCCCGCTTCCCCGCTTCCTCTCCACCGCCTCGTTGCCTCGAAGGCCAGCGCGGCCCCCCTGGCTGCGCTCCACGGCAGCGCCTCCGGCTCTGCTCTGCCTTGCGGACTCAGGGGCCTGTGGAGCCGGAGCCTGGCCTGGCCGCGACTGGCCGCCGCGCCGCTGGGGGACGGCACAAAACGAGGCTGGCACGGTGCAGCCCGGCCACTCGTGCCCCCGCATGCCCCGCGGTGCTCAGCGGCCCGTAGCTCCGGTGGCGACCCCATGCCCGCCGCTGGCCCTTCCCTTGGCCTCCCCTCACTGGGGGCTCTAACCCGGGTGTTGGGAGGGCGGGCCGGGAAGGGCAGGAGAGCGCCCTACGGTCCAACCGCTGAGCTAAGGTCCTGAACAACCTCCTCGCGGGTTTGTCTTTCTCTTCCAATTTAGGGGTTTTTCAGATGCCTTGCACCCTGGGTCAGGAGTCACAGGACCGTGGCGTGTAACACTCCCGACCTCAGGTGGCCTAAATGATCCCAGGCTCCGTTCTCGCCAGGCAGTGGGGGCTCTGTGCTCTGCTGGCTGCAGCCTGCAGGGGCCCCGGGGAGGGGGCCCCCCCCCCGGGCTGGGGTGCTGGGGTGCTGGGGTGCGGAATGTGGCTCTGCGCCACAGACGGAGGCTCGGGGACTGGGTCACGGGCGCTGAAGTGCCTCCTTGGAAAGTGACGGGGCATCCCCGCTCCGGTTTTCAGCTTCAGGAAGTCACTGCCAAGGGCACACGCCAGAGCAGGGACAGCAGAGCAGGGACCCCTGCCACCCGGGGCTGCTGCTCCCCAGCGCAGTGGGCGCGAGCCAGCGGTGCCTCCACAGCTCCGGGAGCACCGCGGGCCCAGGATGAGCAGGGAGCCTGTGGGGAGGATGTGCCCGAGGAGCGCAGTGAGGCGCTCACAGGGAGGCGCAGGGCGCACAGGAGCCCCTGCGCAGGGGCGGGGGGGATGTGCACGCCTGGCACCGCCACCACTGCAGCGTGTGGTCTCTGTGCTGTGCGTGTGCACACACCCCTACACCTGGGAGCCCAGCAGGGAGAGGACAGCGCTCCCATTGCACTTGAGGGCAAAGTGGAGCCACAAAGGCTGCATGGGGTGTGCAGGTCGCACAGCAGGGAGGCCCGGGTCCCTCCTCTGGGAGAAGCCGCCCGCCTGGTTCAGCGAACGCCCGCTGCCCAGAAAGGGAAAGCCTCGGCGCCCAGGCTGCCTGAGGGCACAGCCGCGCTCTGCCTGGGGTGGGGACAGGCCATCTCCCTTTCTGGGCACTGGTGCGGGCCAGGAGCCCGGCTGTGCACACGGGCGTGGACGCCAGGGGAGTGACGGGCTGCAAGCGGTACGGCCCGGCCCCCACGCCGTCCCCCTGGCCGCTTGCAGGACGCAGGACGCTGCCGTCTCCAGCGTGCCGTTGGTGGCGGGGCGAACCCACAGCGTCGTGGGCCTGTAGCTGGGACCTGTGGGACTCCGGGTGTGGCCTTGTGCGTGGGGTTCTGTGGCCCTCGGAGTGAAGGAGTCCGGTTCCCAGCCCCAGGCATGGCGGTGTCGTCGTGCCTCAGTACTGTCTTACTGTCCTGCGTCCTGCTGCCCCCCGGGGAGGGGGAGTATGTAGAGGGCACGGACTGACCCACTGGGCTGGTCTCCCAGGGCCAATGAGGACGGGAAGCGCCCTCCAGCTCCCCGACGGGAGCACCCCAGCAGGCCTGGCCGCCCGGCCCACCTGGACCCCGGGCTCCCTTCTTCCAGGTGCTCTCGCGTGGGCCGTGCTCTCTGGGGAAACGCCTACTTTGTGAGGGGCCTTGTGCTCCCCCCCAGGCCCCCCTGGCTCCTTGTCACATGGCCGCAGTGCTCAGATGCCATTTCTGAGGAGGACAGGTCAACAACGCGATGGCCAAACGAGAGCACGGGGGCATGGGCTTTAATGGCTCTGGTCGGACCTGGGGCGCCGCGGGGCGCCTCTGCAGCACTTGGGGTGCCTGCCTGCAGCCTGCATCGCGTGCGCACACGTGCACCCGCACTGTCCTCGTGTGCACATGGGGCCTGCACACAAACACACACACACACACACACACACAGCGCCGGTGCGTGAGTCCAGCACGGGCCCCAGGCGCCCACAGGGGACAGAGGGGCGGGCCCGGGAACTCAGTCCTTCAGATTGTAGTTCCGGATCTTGGGGGGCCTGGGGGGCCGCGGGCAGCCTTTCGTCCTTGCAGGGTGAGCCCTGGAGGGTCCAGTGGGCTTGGCTTTGGCCTGTGTTTCCATCTTCACCCCTGTGATGGCAAAGGCTGCCTGTGTGCCCACAGGGCTTGGGTCAGGGTGTCCGAGGCTGCTGGCGGCTGGACCTGCGCAAAGAACACAGAGAACAGCCTGTCACACCCCAGGGAGCAGGAAGGGGGGGCGCTCCCCGAGTGTAAGCGGCTGTGCGCCTTGCTGGCAGGACCTGGGGCCCCACGGCCTGGCTCTTTCCAGAGCCTATCAGCCAGAGTCCTCCCCGGGGCCCTGGCACAGGAGGTCTCTGGGCCACATGGTCTCCAGATGCGCTGCGGGGCCCGGGCCTGCCCTCCGCTGGGCACTCTGGACATTTGGCCCCGAAAACACCATCTCCTGCCGTCACCATTTCGTAACGGGGGCCCCCAGGGGCGCGGAGGTTAATGGTTGACCCATGGGATGCCTCAGGCGCCTCCCGGCTGTCCACCACCCTCTGCTTGCGGGCCACGCTGGCCGGGCACCTCCGGCCTGACATGCGTGTCCAGGCGCAGGCCAAGGACCTGGGAGCCTGACCACGCTGTTGCGCACCTGGGCCGACGCTCAGGCCCAGCCCTTCCAAGGCGCCTGGCACGGCGTCTCTGCACTAGGGCAGCAGGAGACTTTCGTTCTCTAGCTTTCCTCTATTTGCCGAGTGTTTATTTTTTTTTTTTTTAAGATGGTTTTTTTTTTTTTTAATTTTTTTTTATTTATTTATGATAGTCACACAGAGAGAGAGAGAGAGAGAGAGGCAGAGACACAGGCAGAGGGAGAAGCAGGCTCCATGCACCGGGAGCCCGACGTGGGATTCGATCCGGGGTCTCCAGGATCGCGCCCTGGGCCAAAGACAGGCGCCAAACCGCTGCGCCACCCAGGGATCCCTTGCCGAGGGATTTAGAACTAGAAATGTACTTCTGTTGAAAAAAAAAAAAAAAAAAAGCAAAAAACAGAAAAGACGTTATTAAGCAGTTATAAGATGTACGCTCAGGGTGGCCCTCCCTCGGGGCTGGCCTCACGGGTGCAGCCGGGGCCTCTGGAGCCCCGGGGGGTCCACCCGGGATGGAAATGCTGCCCCAGGGCACAGAGCACCGACGGGAAGGTGGGGCCTGGCACCAGCTTCTCCCACACGTGAGCACGCGGTCACACGCCCACCCTGCCCCGCGTCTCTGAGCCGCCCACCCTGGGCCTGGCCAGCGCAGGGCTGTGTGCAGCGCAAGTGGGGGGCACCGCAGGGCAGGGACCACCCGGGCGAGGTCTGAGGACGGGCCAAAGGGGCAGGAGGCTGTTGCGGAGCCGGGTGCCAGGAGGAGGCCTGGACTTCAGAAGCACGCCCAGGAGATGCACACACGGCCCCACCGCGGGCAGCGGGACCTCTGCCACACGGACTGCACCCTGGCCCTCGCCTCGGGCCTCCTCCGTCCTCTCGAGCACCTGCAACGGCGCCCTTCCCCGCAGCCTCCTCAGGCTCACCCTCGGCCTCCCTCCTGTCCCTTTGACCCGCTCCTGGGCTGGTCCCCGTCCCACTGCCGGGCCTCCCGGCACCCACTTCTGCCGCGGGCCAGGCTGGTCCCGGATGCGCTCGCGCTGCCCCTGCTTCGCCCTCGTGAGGGAAAGGCCGGCGCCTTGGCTTCTCAGAGCAGTTCCTCCCCCGCATGCGCCCTCCCGTCCTGGTCTCTGCAAGGACACCCTCGGGCCCTGACTTCCAGCCAGCCCCGTCCTGATGTAGGCCCAGGCCCACCCTCTGCTTGGCTGCTTTCCTTCTGGAAAGCCGCGGCTGGTGGGGACGGGCAGGGCTGGGACCCTGACCCTGGTGATGCTGGTGGGGGCCCTCCCCACAAGGGGACGGATTCAGGCCTGGCCTGAGTTCACCCTCACAAGCTGCTGCCAGGGTGACAAAGTGAGGCTCAGGAGGAAGGAAGAGCCCAGGGCCCGAGGCCCCGTGCTGGGGGGCCGTGCCCCCCGAGATGCTGGTGGTGGCAGCAGGGCCTCTGAAGTGGGGGGAGGCTGGGGAGGCAGCAGAGCCCCCGGTGCCCCCCCCCCCAGCCCTCCCTGAGGAGGGAGCTGGTAGCTCCAGGGCAGGGGCAGTCGTGGCTCAGGCATGAAGCTGGACGGGTCGGGCCTGTTTGCCCCCAGCTCGGCCCTGTGACTGTGATGCGTCCCTTCCCTGTCAACGCGAGATTTGCCGTTGCTCAGACCAGGGGCTGGTGTGTGGCAGGGTGACGGCCACCACTCTGCCCTGCCCGTGCCCCGGGTGACCCGTGCCCCAGGCCCTGATTAGGCTTCGGGAGAAGCACGTGGGCACAGGTCTTGCCCCCTGTGTGCTGCGGGTCCAGCCCCACTGCCAGGAAGGCTCGGGGAGCTGCCGGAGGCCTCGCGGCTCGAACCTGGGAGCAGGAACCTGATTCTGTCTCGGGCGCGCCTGGCTGCTCGGAGCCCCTGTTCAGCCCTCATCTGACTTGGGGAGGTGGCCGGGCTCTGGGGAGCAGGCTGGGCTGCTCCCGGCTGGCAGGGGGTCCTGAGCACACAGGGCCCCGCCTCTGAGAGCTGCAGGAAGGGCTGGGGACACGGAGCCCACGCCGGCCCTGAGCCTCGGGAGCCTCCCCTGGAGCCGGGGGGCAGCTCAGCTCTCACGTGTCTGTTGAGGCCTCGGGCACGAGGGACGAGGCCTCCCCAGGCTCCCTTCTGTCTCCCTCCTTCTGTCTTGTCTGCGCTAAGGGCCCCGTGCACCGATGGGCGCTGCTCCACTGCAGCCTCCCTCCTGCTCCCGCGGGAGCCCCTCCTGCCCTGCGTGTGGCTCTTCCTAAATGAGATGAGCCCGCACGTCCCCCCCACCTTGCCCCTCATCCCAACCCACCCTTCGCTCTCCTTAAGCAGGCTGCGCACCCAGCGTGGAGCCCGACACGGGGCTTGAGCTCACACCCTGAGATCGAGAGTCAGAGGCTTCGCCGACTGAGCCACCCAGGTCCTCCTGCCCCTCTGTGGATTAAAGGTTATGAATTAGATGATGTCATACTGCCCGGAACCTTCCAAGGCTTCCCACTGTGTTGGGACTTGGAGCAGCCTCACTCCCCAGAGCCCAGAGCCCGGCCCCGAGCTTCCAGAAGCTGCCAGCTGCTTCCCAGGGCGCCAAGCCTGCCCCCAGTGAGCCTGCCGGGATCTGCCGTGTGCCCTCGGTGCAGAGGCGCTGGGGGACATCCCGGGCCTGCCGGTCCTCAGTAGGGGGGGGGCAGGGGGCAGGGCCCCCGGGCTGCTCCCGGGGGGGGGGGTGGCCGCCTTGGTCCTCCCAGAGGTTAATACCCACCCAATCACTCCTTCCTGATGCCATTTTCAGGGGTACCCTCCCTGGACCCCAAGGCCCGGCTCTTCGGCCAGAGTTGGGGCGGAGGGGTGGCGAGGCTGGAACAGTGAGAACCGCAGGTCGGGGATCAAGGGGCGCAGGGCACGTGGGGTGTGGCAAGTGTGGACAGGCGTCCGGCCCCGGGGGCCACACGGCTCTCACGTCGCCCGGCCCCTGGGCGCTCCGCACCGTCCGGTGCAGCGTGGAGAGGAGGGGGCCGCGGGCGGGGGTCGGCCGGGCCAGGGTGGGCCCTGAGCTGCCTCCTCACCCAGGCCCCAGCCCAGAGAAATGGAAGATTCACGAAAGCCGCTGCCAGGAGCTGCTCTCTGCCCCGCTCGGCGGGGGAGCCGCTGGAGCCAGCGAGGCGACACTCCCTTTGCCACCAAAACGCGGCCCCTGGGGAGGGCGGCCCGGCCACGGCCCCACGCAGGCTGCCCGTCCTGCGCGAGGCGGGGCGCTCCGGGGCCAGCTGCCGGCCTGGGGGCCGCGGGGGCCTCTCCCTGACGACGCGCCCAGGGCTGCAGCCCTGCCAGCACCCCGATACCCTCGAAGGGAAGGTGAGGAGCGGTCCACGCCCCGGAGGCGGCCCGGGGAAGCCGACCAGAACAGACTAACCGGACCCGTGTCACGAGCTCAGCCGCAGAGGCGCCAGTGCCACGTTCCTGACTTTTCCTGGAGGAGCGGCCCTGGTCCCGGCTGTCACGGTGCCGGGGCTCGAGGGACACTGCACAGATCAGGAGACAAATGTGAAGAACCTCAGCGTCCTCCCCACAGCCGCCCCGGGGCCCCCTGCCTGAAACGCGGCCTGCGGACGAGGTCCTCCGCCCCGAGTGGGCCCCGGCTGCCCTCAGCTCCCAGCCACGCGGCCCATGGCTGGCCTGGGGAGCGGGAGAGGCCCCGTGGAGACACCAGCAGGGGGCGGGGGGCGGGGACCGGCAGGGGGGGCAGGCCCCGCCATGGGGGGGCCAGGCCAGGGTCTTGGTGGCAGGGAGGCCTCAGGCAACTCCTGCCCTCCGGGGCCTGCAGGACAGTCCACGCCCGCCCTGGCGCAGTGACCACTCTCTAGACCATAAGGCAGAGGGGCGGCTGTGGCCCAGAGATGGGACTGCCTGGGGGGGAGCAGAAGGGCCCTCCTGCCTCGGCCGCCTGCAGTGCCATTGGGTGCTCTCTGGGTGGACGCTTCTACAACAGGCTCTTCTACACGAAGTGGGGCTGGCTCTGGGGCCCGTGGTCACCACGTGGATGCCTTGGCAGGGTCGCTCTGCATGGTGGAGATGACAGTTCACATCAGAAAATGCAAGAGGAGGGGCTCCTGGGTGGTGCCATCGGGTGAGTGGGTCTGACTCTTGGCTTTGGCTCAGGGTGTGAACTCAGGGTTGTGAGATGGAGCCCCACGGCAGGCTCTGTGCCTGCTGAGCTCCAGATCCCTCTCCCTCTCCCTCAGGCCCTCCCTGGCTCATGCATGCTCTGTCTCTTACAAATAAATAAATAAATCTTAAAAAAAAAAAAAAGGAAGGACACCTGGGTGGCTCAGTGGTTGAGTGTCTGCCTTTGGCATGATCCTGGGGTCCCGGGATCGAGTCCCCCATCGGGCTCCCCACAGGGAGCCTGCTTCTCCCTCTGCCTGTGTCTCTGCTTCTCTCTCTCTCTCTCTCAGGAATAAATAAAAAATAAAATAAAATAAAATAAAATAAAATAAAATAATGAAATGAAATGAAATGAAATGAAATGAAATAAGAAAGGAGGAAAAGAAATGTTGAG